AAGCCGCCTGCTGTTGTTCCGGACGCTTTTAGAATACCGGGGGAGGCTCAGAGAGGCCTGGGCAGGGCAGCGCCAGGCCAGACCACAGGGCAGAGGGAGGCAGGGAACCTGACCTATTTTATCTTCATGAGGGAGTTACTTTCCTCCTAGATAAAACAGAAGAAGAAAAGGGCAGAAACTACAAGGGTGGGCAACAGCGGCTCTATTTTTCTTCCACAATTAGTCATACAGCAATTATGCACCTACTGTGTACTAGGTGGTGCACTATGCACCATAGTGTGAGCAGGGAAATTGACATTGGGGTGGGACAGATGTAGTAGGCTGTGCCCTAGAGGATGTCACATCTGGGCAAGAGGACAGATCCATGGATGGATCGCTGTAGAATTCCGTAGACAAGGAGCTTTCCTTACTTCCTTCTTTGTCATTCACTTGTTGTACGCTGGGCTCGGCGCTAGGTGCTGGGGGCAGGGATGGAGGTGCCAGGGGCCTTTGGGAAGAGCTGGTAATTGAAATGAGGCAGGTGAGATGGGTAGAATTTGGAGATGTGTAATTGGGTTGCCAGGGACTACATGCAGAGCAACAGCCTGGGCAAAGGTGTGGACACTGGAAATCCAGAGTGTTTTGCAGAACTTGGATTTAGCAGATGCCTAGTCATTTGAAACAAAAATTAGAACACACAGGATGACAAAGGGTTTTTTCCCTTAAGTAGTGAATTTACTGGAAAAGTGTTGCAAAATAAAAAATCAAATCACTTTAAATCATACTTTTCACTTCTTGGCTTTATTTTAAAAAGTATTGTTACAGGAAATGAGATCCTCTTAGAAATCTGGGGCTAAAGTCACCTCAACTTGGATTCCCAAACAGGAGATTCAGGAGAGGAGACTGGGGAAAGGGAGGTTGGGGCCAGATTGAAAAGGGGCTTAAACTCTGGGCTGGGCATTTGGGACTCCATTCTGCAGACAGTGGGGAGCTATGGAGGATTTGGGGTGGTTGCTCTAGGACAATTAATTTGGAAAGGGTCTTGCTAATGAGGACTGCAGGACAAGAGGGATGTGGCTTATGATCTCCCCCACACTCCCTGCCTCTGTGTCTTGGCTCTCTGTGCTCCTTGGGGAAGGGCCCCTTTGTACCCCCTCCTCCTGTGCTCTGACCTCTGTCGCTCAGCGGAGGCCCTCTCAAAGCACAGGCCTGGCCCTGAGGGACCTGCAGGCTGCCAGGAGGGGCAGATACTTGGCCACTCCATTAATTTGGTCTTATTTACTGAGCGCCTCCTGTGTAGCACAGAACTTCAGCCAGGTGGGCAGTGGTTTGTGTGTCCACGAATCTCCTAAAATTGGATGAAAAATGTGAAGGTGGATGAACCTTCCTGGAGGGAGGGTCCCTAACTTGCAGTGCATTTTCACATTCAGCTTCCATAGGGACAATAGGAGTGTGTGTGGGGCGGGGGAGGCCTGTGGAAAGTTGGAAATCACTGGGCATGGTCACTATGTGGGGTCTCGGTGCTTACTTTGCTGTGAGCACTTTAACTCTTTAGAACCACTCTGCGTGGTAGGTGCTATTCTCATTTCCACTTGGTAGGTGCAGAAACAGAGGCACAGGACGCTGAGTGTCCCAGGTTCACACAGCACCAAGATCTGAAACCAGACAGTCTGGTCCCAGAGTCTATGCTCCTGACCACTGTGAAATTGGAAATCTGTTGTGTGAAATTAGGGGGCAGATGAATGTTTCTAAAACAATGGGGAGGTCAGGCAAAATTGAGTCACCCAATTTGCAATGCCTGCTCAAAGCGACTGCCTTCAGGAAGACCAGCTGGAAGGGGAGAGCGGGGAGGGGAGACCGGAGGGCCAGGGGGTCAGCCAGGACTGGGGGGGAAGGACTGAGGTTCCTCTTTCTGCACCTTGTCCTGCAGGAAGTGGCTGATGCCCTGGGAGGGGGTGCGAACCCTGACACCAACTCAACCAGCTACAGCAACTACTCAGCCTGGGACCTGGGCAGTGCCTTCTTTTTTTCGGGCACCATCATCACCACCATCGGTGGGGGAGGGGACTGGGCATGCGGAGGGGGTAGGGGTGGCTGGGCTTTCTCAAGGGGGAAGTTGCAGGGGGAGGTGGGGGGATGCCAGGTAACCCCTAGACCTCCTGCACGGCCCCTCTGCCCAGGCTACGGCAATGCGGCCCTGCGAACAGATGCTGGGCGCCTCTTCTGCATCTTTTATGCGCTGGTGGGGATCCCGCTGTTCGGGATCCTGCTGGCCGGGGTCGGGGACCGGCTGGGCTCCTCCCTGCGCCGCGGCATCGGTCACATAGAAGCCATCTTCCTGGTGAGCTGCTCCTTGCCCTTGTGCTGGGCTCAGGACACCTTCCTTCTGTCCCTTCCTGGCACCTGAGCTCAGGCCCTGAGATCCCAGGAGCCTCCCCTCAGGCTCCCAGAGGAAGGGGTGTGGGGTGTGAGAACGGATGTTTTGGCGACTCCCTGCAGAAGTGGCACGTGCCCAAGGAGCTGGTGCGAATTCTGTCAGCGGTGCTCTTCCTGCTGATCGGCTGCCTGCTCTTTGTCCTCGCCCCCACGTTTGTGTTCTGCTACATGGAGGGCTGGAGCAAGCTCGAGGCCATCTACTTCGTCGTAGTGACGCTCACCACAGTGGGGTTCGGGGATTACGTGGCCGGTGAGGCCACCTTTCTTGTGCTTCACTTCCCTACCCCCTTTATTCCTACCCAGAGGCTCTGCTCTTTTGCTTCTCCCTCCAAATTCCACGTGGTGTTTGCGCACTCACACAGAACGGCTCCAGCCCCTGTATCCGCCCACGGAATGATGCACCCTCACATTTTTTGCACGCATACAACATCTCATGCACACTTACGTTCTCGCATGCCTGCGCCTCCATGCATGTTCGCACGTATTGTAAGGTGCACCCCTCACACAGGCTCACATTCCTGCATGTGAGCACTCCCACTCATGTGCTCTTACCTTGCACACCTTCACATCATGCACGTTCGTCTGCTTTCATGCATTCACACACTCTGGCTCATCCTCACTGTCCTGGGGAGAGCGCATCCTTTCGATGAGCCGGGAAGAGGCGGTGAGCGCGGCTTACGGGCTCAAAGTTTGCCCCGCAGTCATCATTTTTCTGCCCTCCCTGGTGGTATCCCAGGCGCCAGCCCCAACCAGAACTCTGCAGTCTATCAGCCGCTGGTGTGGTTCTGGATCCTGCTCGGTCTGGCCTACTTCGCTTCAGTGCTCACCACCATAGGGAACTGGCTGCGAGTAGTGTCCCGCCGCACGCGGGCAGAGGTAGGCGCCCCTGGGTCGTCGGCTCTGCGCCTGCGCCGTGGCGCTGACGCGCTGTGCCCTAGCAGTCGCTTGGCCAGCCTGCCTCCCTTCCCGAGTTTGGGCTCCTCCAGGTCGGAGGGGAGTGAGCCCCCTTAATGCACCGGCCAGGGGCAAAGGGATAAACTCAGACAGGTTTGCAGGCGACTCCATCTCTGCTCTTACGGATAGGGCTGCTAGATTTACCTAATAAAAATGCAGGAAGCCCAGTTAAATGTAGACTTCAGGCAAACAGCAAATGATATTTTAGTGTTACTATGTTCCCCATATTGCACGGGGCATAGTTACACTAAAATTATTTTTGTCTGGAATTCAAATTTAATTGGACGAGCTACATTTTGTCACCCCACTCCTCGCGCCCGGCCCAGGAACGTAAAGGTCTCTGGGGGCCCAGGAGGGTCAGCTGAAATAAAACGCGTTCCCTAGAAAAGCTCCCGGAGTAGAGGGCGCTTGCGTGCGACGAAGGGGGGGAGATCGCGCGCCCAGGTGATGAGCCTTTCCCTCCTGGGCGGGCTGAGGCTGGAGGACCGCGGGGAGACAGGAGCCATGCCCGACCGGCGAAGGGCAGGCTCCTGGGGCTGCTGAGGCGGGCGAGGGCCCCCGGGCGAGGGCTGCTTCTCCTCCCCGCGCAGATGGGCGGCTTCACGGCGCAGGCCGCCAGCTGGACCGGCACAGTGACGGCACGGGTGACCCAGCGAGGCGGCCCCGCGGCCCCGCTGCCGCCGGAGAAGGAGCCGCCCCTCTTGCCTCCACCGCCGTGCCCAACGCAGCCCGCCGGCAGGCCCCCGTCCCCCGCGCCCCCCGAGAAGGCCGAGCCGCCCTCCACGCCCACGGCCTCCGCGCTGGATTACCCCAGCGAGAATCTGGCCTTCATCGACGAGTCCTCGGACACCCAGAGCGAGCGCGGCTGCGCGCTGCCCCTCCCGCCGCGGGGTCGCCGCCGCCCCCACAACCCCGCCAGGAAGCCCCCGCGACCCCGGGGCCCCGGAAGCCCGCGGGACAAAAACGTGCCCGTGTAGGGGCAGGACCCGCGGCCCCGACCTCTCTAAGGGCTTCGTTCTCGCTCTCACCCCAGCATGCTTTGCTTGTTTGACCAAAGAGCCCTTTCCCCACCGGACTGGAGCCTGGGAGCAGGCTAGGTTGCCCGGCCCTCTCCTCACTTCATCCACCTGCAGACCCCCTTTCCGTCTCGCTGTCCCGGATGGGCCTGTCCCTCACAACACCTCACAACTGTGCCTCCAAGCCTGCATCAATAAACGAAAGAGTCTGCACCGCTGCGGGCCTGCGCGCTCCGAGGACGCGAGCGGGGGTGGGGGTGCTTGCTTCGGGCCGCCTCCGGGCAGGTCGGGCCTGCCGCGACTCCCTCTGCACCCACAGAGGGTCTGGGATCCGCCCGCGTCTCTGCCTGGAGGCGGCTGGGCAGGGCCCGGTAGAGGAGCCTGACAAGATGGGCCGCGCCTCCCACCCCAGCGCAGCTAATTAGGTGGGCGGGGGCGGGGGCGGGGAGGGGAGAAATAACGGTTTCAAGCGTGGAGGGCTGTGGCTTGAACTCGTTCTGCACGAGGCCCCGCGTCACCGCTCCAGAACGGGCCCTGCCGCTCCCCCCTTCCTGGAGCGCGACCCCCTCTTCCCTGCCCGAGGCTTGTGGCGACTGGGTCCGTTGGGGCAGAACCATGGAGGAAAAGCCTTTCAAAGTAAGAACTCTCCCGGGCCCCTCACCCTGGCAGCCCCCGGCTGTCCTCGTCCAGCACACCCGGAGCAGCAGGCGGCTCCCGGCAGTCCCCGTGTTCCTGCCCCAGCCTGCCCTTCCTCCCCTCCCCAACACCCTGCCACCCTGACCCTGGGCTTTCCTTGGCCTTTTCTTTTAAAGGACCTTTTAAAAATTTTAATTTATTGGGGTGACACTGGTTAATAAAATTATATATGTCTTAGGGGGTACAGTTCTATAACACATCATCTGTATCTTGTATCGTGTGTTCACCACCCCGAGTTAAGCCTCCTTCCATCCCCATTTAGCCCCCTTTACCCTCTTCTACTTCCCCCCACCCCCCTTCCCCTCTGGTGATCACCATGCTCTTGTCTGTGTCTAGGAGGGTTTTTGTTTTGTTTTGTTTAGCTCAGCCCCTTCTCCTTTTTCACCCAGTCCTGCAACCCTCCTCCCGACTGACAGCTGTCAGCCTGTTCTCAATCTACGAGACTATTTCTATTTTTTTTTGTTAGTTTATTTTGTTCAGTAGCTTCCACATATGCGTGAAACCACATGGTACTTGTCTTCCTCTGACTGGCTTCTTTCACTTAGCCTAATGCTCTCCGGGTCCAGCCGAGCTGTCGCCAATGGTAAGGTCTCCTTCTTTCTTATGGCAGAGTAGTATTCCATTGTGTGAACGGAGCACAGCTTTTTTTATCCACTCACCAGCTGATGGGCACTCGGGCTGCTTCCAGATCTTGGCTATTGTAAATAATGCTGCCATGAACATAGGAGTGCATGTATTCTTTCACATTAGTGTCTTGGTTTCTTCAGCTATAGTCCCAGAAGTGGGATCGCGGGGTCTTTAGGCAGTTCCATTTTTACACTTTTGAGGTATCTCAGTACTGCCTTCCGCAGTGGCCACACCAGGCTGCGCTCCCACCAGCAGTGGAGTTCCCTTTTCTCCGTGTCCTCGCCTGCACTTGTTATTGGTGACCTATTGGTGATCGCCATTCTGACAGGTGTGCTGGGCTTTCCTTGTTGTATGTGGCCCGCAGGAGCCAACCAAGTCTTCAGGCTGCCATGACTCAGTCAATTCAAACTTGACCAGTGACATCCGCAATCTGTGGACCACGGCCACGCTGTCGCAGGCCAAGCTGAACCTGCCGCTGATCAGAGTTTCTGAGGACTCTGAACTGGAGGGCAGCAAGACTGACCCCTGGTACAGCCAGAAGACGACCCGCCAGGACTCGGACGGCGCCTGGGAAGAATGGGATGACAGGAGTGACAAAGTCAGCTTCAAGCACAAAGGGCTGGGCGGCCGCACCGTGGAGCTGGAGCTTGGCTCCTACAGCTCCCAGGGAAGCGATTTAGAAGGGGACGAGGATTCCAGCATCAAGACGGGTCAGTGTGGCCTCAACGGGCCGTGGGCGTCCACAGGGCAGGGGGATGGCCATGGCCCCAGTTTCTGCTGGTGGAAAACGCGGGGAAGCTGTAGTATCCAAGCTTCTAGGATTCCCTGGGTGAGGCGCCAGCGCTCATCTTTCAGGCTTTCAATCAACCAGACATTCTTGGAGCGCCCCCTACCGGGAGGCATCGCACACAGTCCTGTGGCCGGGGCATGCCAGTTTCGGGAGGCGCAATTAGGACCGTGCTTTTAATGGAACAACGAGATAGTTGAAAGGAGGGAGTTAATTCCTTGTCGGTGCGTTTTTACAGGTCGAGGAAGTGCCTGTCTGTCATTTATTCAGTCATTGGTGACAATTTAAAAAAAATTTATTTATTTTTGGGGAGGGAATGGGAGGAAGAGAGAGTGAAACATCGATGTGCCTGGGAGAGAAACAGCAATCGGTTGCCCCTGGCACGCCCCCACCCAGGGACCTGGCCCACAACCCAGGCATGTGCCCTGACTGGGAATTGAACCGGCGACACTTTGGTTCGCAGGCCAGCCCTCAGTCCACTGAACCACTCCATCCAGGGCCATTGGTGACAAATTTTAAGTATCTACTTCATGCTGAGTACTTTTTGGACCTTACCCTTGTCCCCCTTCCCCCAGCCCTTCATCAGATAATCGGAACTGATAACAGTGTACGGACTGCCATTTACTGAGCATTTACGGTGTGCCAGGCACTGGGCTTGCCTTGCATGATCACCTTTAAACTTCTCAGCCTCTACAAGGGATTATCCTTATTACCCCATTTTACAGGTGAAGAGCCTGAGGGTCAGAAGGTTTCAGTCAAGAGCCCAGTGGGGCAGTCAGAACTGGAACCTTGATGGATGAGACAATAAAGCCCAGGGCTGTAAATCACTGTCCCTTACTGTTTCCCACTAAGATGGCACCTGATGCTTTTCTCTGAAGGCCACTTTCCCTCTCAGATGCCACCCCGTACACCTCTGTCCCCAGGAAGGCCCAGCAGTCTACCGATGACTCATCTCTCTTTTCTCTTCTCCCAGAAATATCTTCCACAATGTCATCGCCCAAACTCTTGAAGCACAAGCCCCATCGAGCCTACTGGGTGGAGCAGCAGAACAGGGTTGGAGGCACCCAGGGAGACTGGGGATTTTAATGGGGTGGGGAATGGGCAAGTTGGGGGTTCAGGGATGAAGGGGATGGGGGTGGTCTGTAGGGTGGAGGGGCAGGTTGTTGGGGGTCTTGGGCTGGAGGCATTTCAGCTGTGGGTGGAGCTGGGGTCCCTGGGACATCTGAGCCTCTTGCTGCCTCTTCAGCTGCCTCTGCCCCTGATGGAACTCATGGAGAGTGAAGCTCTGGAAATCCTCACCAAAGCCCTCCGGAGTGAGTCCCTCCCCAACTCCCAGGAGACCCTGGGGAATTTCGCAGGACTGGAGCCTGTGGGAGTGCGGTGTCAGGATGTGTTTGCCTTGTTAGATTTCCTTACCGCTCACTAATATTCCAGGAGCCCCACACAAAGTAAAACACTGGGGACACAGGAGTCCCATGGGAGGGATCATGGAGTAAACGTGAGGGGCCTGGGCTCCAGCTTAAACGCAGTCCCGCTCCAGCTGACATGGGTTTTCTAAGGCTGTTTCTCCATTTGCCCAATGGGGATGACATTTTTCGTGTGGCCCTTGCCCCTTCCCTGGATAATGTAAAGAGGCTTTGAAGAGTGGATTGTTTGGGTAAAGTTCCACTGGTTTGCCCTGCTTATGACATGAGGGGGTGGGGGCTGGTTAATGGCTAATGGCGAGTGGTCCAGGAAGTGTGCGAAAAGCAGCCTGCTACCACTGCCTTAGATCAAGGCCCGCATCTTCTTTAATCTTGCCCTCATTCATCCTCCACCTCAATATCCCATCCTGCTCTGCATCCTCCCACTATTTGGAGCACAGGTCTATGACTCCAAAATAACAAAACTGGCAGGGCCCAGCACTTTGGAGATCCAAACTTCCCCAAACTAACACAGATCCCAGTGCTCAGAGCTTCTGCCAGCCCAAGTCACCCGCGGTTCCTCAAATCACCCATGTGGCATCTGCTGTTGGGGACACCACGCCCCTGCTAACTGCCCTGAGTGTCGATCTACCCTCCAGGCTACCGGTCAGGAATCGGCAGGGATCACTACTTAACCAAGCAGCTGCAGAGACACATCGAAGGGCTCAGAAGACGACGGAACAAGAGGTTACACGTCTTGGTGCGCTGAGAGCGCCGCCTCAGGCTCGAGTGGCTGTCCAGCTCCAGCCCCGGTCCCCGTCCTGCCCCGAGGCATAAGCCCGAACCTCCTCTCTACGTGGAATTTGAACCCTAGAGAAATAAAAGAGCCTGTACAAGGTCCGCGAGTCAGTGCGTGGCAGTCTGCGTGAGGCGGACGCACACGGCCCCGCCTTTTCCCCCGCGACCTTCACTCGGTCACCGCAGTGACCTTGAGCGTTCTTTGTTGGGGCCCTATCGGCGCCACCTTCCCGGGACTCGAAATCCAGGACTCCTTGCACGTTCTAGGTCTGTTTCTCCCATCCCGGATACTGCAGCTTTGTAGGGATATTGGGTCTGCGGTCCAAGCGCCCCCACGGTGTTAACTCGTGGGACAGGGAAAAAGGGAAAGTGGCAGAGATTGCCCTCTAGCTAGCGCTTGCTAGGCTCCGCCCCTCATGCATATGCAGATACACTGGCCTCCCCGCTCGTCCCGTCCTCTCATTAACATGTGTCTGTCGCTTCCCGGGTCCGGAACTAAGGCCGCTGGGCGATTTCGCCCACTCCTCTGGCGCACAGCGCGCCCCGCCTCCTTCGTTACGTAAGAGCGCTCTTGGCCCCACTCCCCCAGAGCCTCTCCGCGTCTCCCCAGATCACGTCCACCCGGCGGCAGCGTACGCAAGTGCGCGGCTGAGGCTTGCGGCAACGGGGCGGGACCTTCGTGAAAGCCCGCCCACTGGCTTCGCCAGCTCCTCCCCTACTCGTCCCGGCACCCGGGCGCTGCTTGTCCCACTTGTCTGATTAGCATAGGGCACCGGGCCCCGCCCCCTGTTTTGCATGCGCACGGCCGGCCCCGCCCCCACTGTCAGCTGGAGGAAGCGGAGTAGGAAGCGGCCGCGATGTCCTTTTGTGTCCTACAAGCCGCCAGCGGCGCCGCCGAGTGAGGGGACGCGGCGCGGCGGGGCGGCGCGGCCCGAGGAGGCGGCGGAGGAGGGGCCGCCAGCGGCCCCCGGCTCACCCCGGCGCTCCGGGCCGCTCGGCCCCCATGCCTGCCCACCCGCCCAGCCGGAGCCCCAGGTCCGGGGGCGGAGGTGGAGCACCGCTGGGGAGGTGGGCGGGAGGGGCGCTGGGGCCATGTGCGAGCGCGGCAGGGAGGCGGGCGGGGGGCGGGCCCCAGGCGGGGTCCGGCTTTTGGACCGACCCGGGTCACGGTCGAGACCCGGTGGAGAGCCAGAGGAGGTCAGGGTCCGGGAGGGATCCGGCGTCCAGATCTTAGTGCGCTGGCCTGGAGCAGGGGCCGGCTTTGGCTCGGGCTGCAAACCCTAGCCAGGGTCGGGTTTGGGCCTCGGATTCAGCCCTAGGGCAGGGTTCAATCCGGCACCTGGAGCATGCCGAAGTACCAGGGGCGGGCGGGGGTGGCAGATGGGGAGGGTTCCCTGTCGGGGAAGGGGCTTTGAAGACCACGTGGGGGCGCTCGAAGGGGCCTTGGGCCACCCTCCTCTCTGGGTCAAAGGTCATCGCACCGGCAGGGGAGAACTTCCTCCTCCCTGGCACTCCCCATTTACTTCCTGATAACCTGATAGAGGTCCCCGGCGGGCGGAGGAGGAGGGGAACGAGGCAACTTCAGGCAACTTCCCGTAGGTGTGCGCGTGTTGGGGGGGCGGGGCGCCCCGGAGATGGAGGACCCTGCGGCAGCAGGAGTGTAAGAGTGAATGTGCTGGCGTGTGGGGTGCGAGGGGGCGTGCAAGGAGGTGGAGTCGCTCCGGTCGGGTGTGCCTTGGAGTGGGCTTGCCGGGACAGGAGGATCTGTGTGTCAGGTGTGAAAGCTCTGAATGTTTCCACAAGGGTCCATGTCTGTGAATGGCGGGGGGCACGGGTGGAGTATGGTGAGGGTGTAAGACTGTGAGTGTGTGATTATGAGACTTGAGTGTGACTTTGTTTATGGGGTATATGCACCTGGGGAGGGGTGAGGGGGCATGAGTGAGAACTGGGCCTGGAAAGGCCATGTGTGAGAGTGAGCATGTGAGGGCTCAGGTGAGTGGGAGTGTGTGAGCTCGTCTATTGCCCTTGGCCTTGTGTGCTGTTTGCACGCTGGAATGGAGGATACCCAGGTGAGAGGGAGATCACCGAGGTCCCTCTCTGGAGAAAATTGAAAGGTATCCCTTCCCTATTTCTGGCTGAGGATTCCAGATGGGGTTGAAGGTCATCCAGGACCAAGGTTACCCTGTTCCCTGGCTAGGGTGGGAGTAGGGGGTTTCTAAGTCCTCTGCAGGTCCCCAAGTGGGAAACTTTCTGTCAGTTACTGGCCCTGGAGGCTCTGGAGACTGTTTCCATGGCAGCAGCTGGGGGGGCCTTCTTCATGGGCAGCCCTTCCTTGGACTCTGTACCTCCTCCTTCCCCCTCACTGATAGTGGAAGCCTGGCCCCAGGCCTGGGGTTGGGCAACCAGGGTGGCAGGGTGTCTCTCCATCCCCCATCCTAGTGCCTCCCTGTGACCTGACAGGTTTCTCCCCACAGGTGACCAGCGTCATGTCCAGCCAGGTGGTGGGCATTGAGCCTCTCTACATCAAGGCAGAGCCAGCCAGCCCAGACAGCCCAAAGGGTTCCTCAGAGACTGAGACTGAGCCCCCTGTGGCCCTGGCCCCTGGCCCAGCTCCCACGCGCCACCTCCCAGGCCACAAGGAAGAAGAGGATGGGGAGGGGGCTGGGCCTGGTGAACAGGGTGGTGGGAAGCTGGTCCTCAGCTCCCTGCCCAAACGCCTCTGCCTGGTCTGTGGGGACGTGGCCTCCGGCTACCACTATGGTGTGGCATCCTGTGAGGCCTGCAAAGCCTTCTTCAAGAGGACCATCCAGGGTGAGCCCCCCATCCCACTTCTGTGCCCTTTGCCCTCTGGGCCTGGCACTACCCAGAGGATGCACTGCTAGGTGGTAGTAGACCCCCAGACTGCCGTGGTACCATTTGGGCTTGGCAGCCTGATGTTCCCAGGCCCTCTTACCTCTAAGGAGTGCTCTTTCCCTTAAAAATGAAACAGAGCCAGCAGGATGTACATAGGGCCGCAGGATGTGTTGATGGATTGGATGTGGGACGTAAGAGGGGATTTGCGATGTCTCTGAGGTTTCTGGGTACGACAGGCTCAGCATCTTCCACAGTGGCTCTGAAAAATTTGCAGCAGTCTCTGCCTGTTCCTAAACTTCGTTCTTGCTTCTGGTAGTGACTGGCCTCTCACCAGCATAGAGCGCCCCCACCCCCTCTGTGCTGATTGCCCCAACGCACCACCAGCACAAGGCAGGTTTTTATGGCTGAGAGCGGCTACATCCTATTTCAGTATCTAACTCTAAAAAGGCTGTTACACATCCTGCTAATAGTACTCACGGAATTTTTCTCACTCAGGAAAGCATATTAAAATATGAGTGAGCAAAGTGGTGCTGTAACAAGTAGTACTCGGGATGTGCCTGTTAGTTATATTTTTATGTAAACCTCAGTTACTTTGGGGGTATAACAAGTATAGTTTTTGAGAACATTTCTTGAGTGCTCACCAGGCACTGTGCCTCTTTACTCTCACGAAGTCCCCCCACAGCAAACTACAAGGTGCCACCACTGCTATAACTGAGGCCCACGTTGCTTTTTAAAACGTTGTCTAAGTCCCAAGGTAGAAAATGGCAGAACTAGTGTTTGAGCTTCGGTCAGTTCAGGTCCAGAACGGAGCTCTTAAATGCCAAACTGCTGCCTCTGCTTATTACTAATAACTGAACTTTGGACAGGTGCCTCACAGGTGGAATGATTGTGACATTCCAGCAAGTCTTGGCTTCGCCATTGCCAAGACTTACTGGTCTAAAATTTCTCTGCTCCCTTCTGGCTCTGAAGCCCAGGGAGCCAACAGGTTCAGGCCCAGGTGTCCCCTGCCCATCCTGGAGCCCTTCATTCTAGGCTGACTCAGTAGGCAAATGCTTATTGAGCCCTAGCCATAAATAGTAATGAATTATTGAATATTTAGGTATTGTGAACTATGCTAAACGTGTTACCTCAATTACCCTCTTGAATTCTCACAACTTGCCTTTGTAAGAAGTACTGTTTTTATCTCCCAGTTTCACAGATTAAAAAAACCCGAGGGTTCGCGGGCTTAGGTAGGGGACTAGTACAAGGTCGCACAATTGGGATATGGAAATGTCAGGCAGCCTTCAAAGCCTTCGCAAACCCTGTGCTTTGCTGCCCTGGCCACTGTTCCAGGCATGGGGACTAAGGCAGGACTGTCCCATCTTCACTTTACATTCTAGCAGAGGGGCAAGAAAGAAAACAGCGAATTGCACACAGTGGTGACAGTACAGCTGTGATGGGAGCTGGAGGGAGATGAGCAGGGTCTGTACTAAGGAACCTGGCTGGGCCTGGGGCTCTGGAGGGCTTCCTTGAGGAGGCGCCTGGATCTGAGCACGGAAGCTGGGCAGCGTATAGAAGAAACGATGCAAGGGCGTGTCAGCCGGTTGTGTCATGCAGTCCTTGAGATAGGCTGGGAGGGCTGCCTTGCATTTGTTCAACCCGTTATGAGCGCCCACTATGTGCCGGGCCCTGTTTCTAGCACTGGGGACAGTCCTGGCCCTCGTGGATCGGACAGTAACGTTGGGAGACAGGTAATAAAGAAGATAAATATGTACACGTATGGCATATTAGATGCTTCTGAGAGCTGATGAGAAGCTATCGAGCAGGGGCAAGCGGCTGGAGTCATCCCCAGAGGGGGCAGGTGGCATTCTCACCACCCCTCACAGGGTAGCCAGGGAAGGCCTGGCAAGGTGACAACAGGCAGAGACCTGGAGGAGAGAAGGCGGCTGTGGACCCTGAGTTAGGGGCCTAGAGTCAGAGCAGAGTGCATAAAGGATGATGTCAGAAAGAGGGTGAGGAGCAGGGGTCCAGGCCTCAGACCACTGGCTTCACTGGGCTCTTACTCTTGGAAGGGAAGGTACCAGAGAGTTTTGAGCAGGGAAGGGACAGGATCTGACTTAGGTTTAAAAAGGTGCCTCTGGCTGCCGTGTGGAGAGCAAGTGAAGGAGGCGAGGGCAGCACAGGAGGCCCTATTAGGAGGTAAAGCCCACCAGGGGCAGCTGATGGGTTGGATTTGGGATGTGGGACAGAATCAAAGCTGTCTCCTAGGTTACTGCTTGAGCAGCTGGACGGATGGAGTCTCCAGTTTTGGAGGGGTAGATCAGCGGCCACGTTTAGGACAGGTTAGGTTTGTGAGGCTTTCCAGACAGACGTGCAGTGCAAGATGTCGAGGAGGTAGTGGATATGAGTTGAGAGTTTAGGCAGGTCTAGGCAAGAGATATGCGTCTGAAAGTCCATGACTAAGTACGATCACCACGGTAGTGAGTCAGTGGAGACAAGGTCCGAGGGCAGCCCTGGGGTTCTTCAGTGCAAAGAGCACAAGGAGATGCACAGGAATCACAGAGTGGCCAGCGAGGTGGGAGGAAAACCAGGAGTGTGTCCTAAAAGCAACGGAAGAAAACTGTTCGGTGTTTCCAGGAGAAGGATGCGATCAATGGCGTTAGATGATCCTTTAGGCCATGTAAGATGAGGATGAGAATTGGCCATTGAGGGTAGCAACAGAGAGGCCATTGTGACCCTTGAAGAGAGCAGATGAGGGCAGCGGAGCCCAGAGTTATGGCTTGACGCGAGGCTTGGGGCAGATGCAGCCCAACTCCCCTGGTCCGAGCCCTCCTTTTGCCCAGACAGGGCCCCCAGCCCAGCAGCCGTCCTCCTCAGCGCCCTGGGCTTCCCCGCCCCACTCACGGCACTCCTGCTCTCCCCAGACCTGTGCTTGCCCGGGGCGAGTCAGGGTTCTCCTGTCTGCTGGGCCCCCTCCAGGCCCTGGGAGGCCGCCACTGGAGCCCTGCCTCTTCCTGGCAGGGAGCATCGAGTACAGCTGTCCGGCCTCCAATGAGTGTGAGATCACCAAGCGGAGACGCAAGGCCTGTCAGGCCTGTCGCTTCACCAAGTGCCTGCGGGTGGGCATGCTCAAAGAAGGTGAGTACTGGGCGGGGCCTTGGTGAGGGCCGGGGGAGCTGGGTGGGTGGGGCCGGAGGGCAAAGCCTGAGAGGTTCTGGTGGAATGGATTGGGCAGGAGGGCTCTGCAGAGCAAGTCACCCCCAGCTCCAAGGACACAGCCCTGTCCTACAATTCAAGGGGTACGTCTGGACCGTGTCCGGGGTGGGCGACAGAAGTACAAGCGGCGACCAGAGGTGGACCCACTGCCCTTCCCAGGCCCCTTCCCTGCTGGACCCCTGGCAGTAGCTGGAGGCCCTCGGAAGACAGGTGAGAGTGCTGTGGGTCCTGGGAGTCCTAGGGTGGGGGTTGGGCTAGGACACGAGAGGCCTTTCTGGTGCCCTTCACCCAGGCTAGTAGTTATCTTGGGCACTGGAACCCACATTTTCCCTTCATCTGTTCACTTACTCATTTCCCCACAAAAGCGTTTTTGAAAATCCCTTTTTCTGTCAGTCCCTGAGTGGTGCAGCCGGGACCAAGGAGAGGTTTGCTAACACTCAGAACCTGTTCACAAACGGACCGGCTTGCCCTGGGAGATAGGGACAGCCCTTCCCGGAGAAAGGCGTCTGAGCTTGCTGACCAGTGGCTGTTGAGGAAGGCCATGGGGGAACTGGCTCTGGGAAGATGTTTGACTCTAAAGGGCTTGCAAGGTGACAAATGCAAGTGCCTCTTCTGTCACTGCAGCCCCAGTGAATGCACTGGTGTCCCACCTGCTGGTGGTAGAGCCCGAGAAGCTGTATGCCATGCCCGAGCCAGCGGGCCCTGATGGACACCTCCCAGCCGTAGCTACGCTCTGTGATCTCTTTGACCGAGAGATTGTGGTCACCATCAGCTGGGCCAAGAGCATCCCAGGTAAAGGGCAGGGGATGCGGGCTTCCCCGAGTAGGCCAGGCCATGCCTGGCTCTGGTGCACCTGCTCAGTCAGGCATGCGCCCCGCTGCCCTCCAGGCTTCTCGTCACTGTCACTGTCGGACCAGATGTCAGTACTGCAGAGCGTATGGATGGAGGTACTGGTGTTGGGTGTGGCCCAGCGCTCACTGCCACTGCAGGATGAGCTGGCTTTCGCTGAGGACCTGGTCCTGGATGAAGAGGGAGCGCGAGCAGCTGGCCTGGGGGAACTTGGGGCTGCCCTGCTGCAGCTGGTGCGGCGACTGCAGGCCCTGAGGCTGGAGCGGGAGGAGTATGTCCTGCTGAAGGCCCTGGCCCTTGCCAATTCAGGTGAGTCTGGGTAGGCCCTGACAAGTTTGCAGAAGGCCCTCCGTAACTCTGATGGTAGGATGGTCCCATTTTACAGACTGGGCACACCAAGGCTTAGTGACTTGCTGAAAGCCCCAAAATAAGGCAAGGACAGCCCCAGAAACAGGATTTTGAGCCCTAGTGCCATACTTAACTGGAAACGTGAATGATTTAGTGGGAGGGAAGGTGGGGAGAACAGAAGGGGACCACAGCTGAGAGTGAGAGAGAGAGAGAGAGAGAGAGAGAGAGAGAGCGCGCGCGCGCGCGCCCTGGCTCATGGGCAGGAGCAGTGAGTGTTGCCTCAGCCAGCCAATCAAATCACTGTCTGGCCCCTCTGTACACCCACACCTCAGTGCCCAAGCAGAGTGAGCTCTCTCCTTCCTGGAGATGGTCCATGTCAACAGCTCTCTCCCGCCTCCCTGCAGACTCCGTGCACATTGAAGATGCTGAGGCTGTGGAGCAGCTTCGAGAAGCTCTCCATGAGGCCCTGCTGGAGTATGAAGCTGGCCGGGCCGGCCCCGGAGGGGGTGCTGAGAGGCGGCGGGCAGGCAGGCTGCTGCTCACACTACCACTCCTTCGCCAGACAGCGGGCAAAGTGCTGGCCCATTTCTATGGGGTGAAGCTGGAGGGCAAGGTGCCCATGCACAAGCTGTTTTTGGAGATGCTGGAGGCCATGATGGACTAAGGCAAGGGGTGGGCATGGGTGGGGGTGCTGGCAGGACCCGCCCAGCATCGGGTCAGCCCCAAGGGGGCAGAGCTGGGGTCTGGGCAGTGCCACAGCCTGCTGGCAGGGCCAGGGCAATACCATCAGCCCCTGGGAGCAGGCCCTACGCCCTCCCCTCCCCCTTCCTTGGGGGTGTTAGAAGCTGGGAATGTGTGCCCAGGCTCTGCGCACAGTGCTGCCCCTTGCAAGCCATAATGTGCCCCTAGAGTGTAGGGGGTGCTGTGGAAGCCATAGGGGGCTGCAGGGGATGTGTTGGGGAGGGGGACAGAAGCCTGATCTCAGGGAGGGAAGGGAGTGGAGGCCACAGTCTCCCAGCTTTTGCTGCTGCTTAATCTGACCTCCCCTCCAGAGCAGAGGGGAATTTGGAGAGCAAAGGTCCCTGCCCCCTTGGCTCCTCTCATTTGCATTGGGCATTACTGCCCCCCCCCCCCCCAAGCAATAACTCCAAGCAGGCTCCAGCCCCTGGACCCCTGGGGTGGTCAGGGCCCCCCATCAGCTCCCACCCAGCCTCCTCGGGGGGTAGGGAGAGCACTGCCTCGATGCCCTGCAGAGCAATAACACTATATTTATTTTTGAGTTTGGCCAGGGAGGCGCAGGGACATGGGGCAAGCCAGGGCCTAGAGCCTTTGGCTGTACAGAGACTCTATTTTAATGTATATTTGTTGCAAAGAGAAACCGCTTTTGGTTTTGAACCTTTAATGAGAAAAAAAATATATCGAGCTCAAGAACACTGTGTGGTGTGTCACTGGGTCAAAGCTGGGGATACACTTTACAAAATTAACAAACAGGAATATACATAAACAAAGATACACACGGTCACAGTATGAAAAACTGATGCCTGGCATGATTACGCCGCGGTTTCCTCATCACTCAGTAGCATGTTTGGGATCCCGCGGGTGATGGGGAACACACGTCCAGATTCTGGGCACTGCAGGGTGCCCTCCATCACCTCCACCTACGGAGAAGTGGGGAACAGCTGAGCACTGGCAGCCTCCGGGTATGGCTGTGTGGCCAGGAAGCAAGTGACGGGCCAGTTCTCACCTCCAGCAGTATGTGGTGCATCTGCCTCAGAAACGTCTCATCTTGCTCATACCCCTGAGTCGGCTCTGTGGGCACCTCGCCCAGACACAACTGTGGGCAAGAGACCTAAATTATTCCTGGGAATCCCACACCCTGGCCAGGTGCAAAGGGCTGCCGTGACACCAACCCCCCTAAAGGTGTGCACGGAGGGGGGGGGGCTCCTCACGGTATTGGCCGCCTCCAGAAGAGCCGCCCACTCCACCTTGGGTATCATACGCGCCACAAATTCAGGGTTGAACTCCACAGGCATGATGCGGACCTCGGAGGCCTGCGGGGAGTAGGCGTTTAGTTACCTAGGGACCGGAGCCTGGTTCTCCTATCCCTCCCGGGAAGAGGGTGCCATACCGTCCCCCGTACGGTACCTGCAGGCGCAGGGGGAATCCACGGGGTCCCACCCCTTTCACGTGCGAGCTCAGGAAATTGTGGGTAAGCAGCTTCATGTCTCAACAAAACTCTCACGAGGACGGAACCGGAAGGGAGCAGACACTGAGTTCGTCACTTCCGGGGCTGCTCCGCTCTCTCCTATTGCACAGCCGGGAGGAACGGAAGTGGCGAATTGCTGGAACTTCCGGCGCTCGTTAGGCGGTGTTGCGAAGGCCAGATCGGATCACGCGTTGCTACCGGAAGCGTCGGCAGGAGGTTGCTACAGTACAGGCCCAGTGGTGTTGGTTCCACACCTTTACGCTCAACAAATCACGTACAGTGAAAAATCATATGTAAGAAAGCCGCAATGCAGGAGCCTTCAGGTTGAAGTCAAAGTAAACGTGTTTTACTTCTACGCAGGAGCCTGAAGACGTCGTCATCTGCCTCTCACTTTCGGTTAAGGGACGGAAACACTGCTCCAATCCGTGAATTAGGCCCACCCAAACAGCGGCACCCTAACCTTGTATGCAAATAAGCTGGGCGGCTGCCGAAAGCCCCGCCCATTTGCCCAGCCCCTAATGCAAATAAGTCTATCGTTATGCAGGCTCCGCCCCTGACGTACCGCCCGCGCGAGCGCTGCGGTTGCGGACCGCCCCCGCGGTCAGCTGAAAGCCCTGTCGTTTGCAGGCTCCTGCTGCAGCATGGCAGTCCAGGTCCCACCTCCTGCGGTGGCCCGGGGGCGGGGCGGAGGAGGGGGCGGGGCAGTTGTGGCCTAAGAGCCTGGCTTGGACCTGACGGGTATGTGTATCCTGAACCAGCTATCGGGCTCCGTACTCTCCTGGGCGGCCGCAGTGCGTCGTGCGGCAGCAGTGGGAGGCAGAGGGTACCTGGAAGAAGGTCTAGAGTGGACGCTTGGCGGAACCCGCGGTTTCAGAAGCGCTGCCGTCGCTATGGCCCCGATCAAGGTGACCGCTGGCCTAGTCTGGCCAGAACTGACCCCCTTTCCATCTCTCTGTCCCGCTGAAGGCAGTAGCCCCCAACCCCAAACCCTGCCGGCCTCCCTCTTTTCCTGCCCTGCGGCCCTGTCTCTGTTGCCCTGGAGACTCCTCTGGTTGTCCGCCTCAATCCCGCAACAAACCCCGTGGCTGCCCCACCGTTCTCGCCAGTTTTAAGAGCTTGGTGCACCATCTCCTGAGACGGTCCCTGAGGCTCTCCAGTCTTTTCTTCCACATTCACTTTGCGACACACAGTAATGGGTCTCCACCATTTTCAGGAGATCGAATACTATGCGCACCGCCCCCCCCCCCCCGCTTCTGGAACCTCCTTTGCCCCAGGGTCCCTTTTCAACCCCCATACATAGCCCCCGCTGTATCCTCCTGCACGCTTTTGTCAGGTTATTTGGCATCACTCTCACACCATCTTCTAAAACGTGTTGTCTCTTACGGCCCCTACTGTGTCTCCCCATTCCACTCCAGGCACAGCTGATTCCCACCCTTGAACTGCTTCTTTCCTCTCATCTTGAGTCATCCCCAGCTCCTTAGAACAACCCCCGCCCCAACAATTCTGAGACCTCCTCTTTCTGCCTCATCCTACTCCCAACCCCTTACATTCCCTCCCTCTTGTTTCCCCCTGCCCATGAAACCCTCATACACTCCCAGGTAGACTGATCCTTCTCCTTTGGGAGATTCTTTCTGTATACCTTCCAGATGAAGGGACCTGCACCCCCCCAAAAAAACCTTCCCCACCTTCTGCTGACCTCCCTTTTTTCTCATCTTGGGGGTGGGTCACAGACCTGGCCAAATCCTCCCTGGGGTTTGTTAGAGCTGCTGCGCCCCCCCCGCCCCCGCCAGGCCCGCCCCTGCCAAAATACAGCCCCCTGCCCCTCCTCCTTCTGCCCAGTTATCCCACTTCTTTCCTGTAACTCACCCAGTCTGTTTACTCAACTTGTTGCAACTCCAGGAAGTCCTCACCCTTTTTCTGTTGTCACCAACAGTCCCTCAAAAAGAAATAAGGCCATCTTGAAACCTGGAGCATGTGGGGTAACTAGACAGTGGGGGGAGAAGGGATGGTGACTGGGAGGGACCTCTGGAAACTCTGACAGGGTTGGACTTCCTGCCATGTGTCGACCCTGGCTCCACCAGGCACAGCTTCCTTAGCTCTGTCTCCTTAGCTCTTGGTTTGCTGCCCTTCCCTTCGCCTCCCTACCTGTCTCCCTCTCTCTGGTCCTTACCATGGAGTTTCCTTGCCTCTAGGTGGGAGATGCCATCCCATCCGTGGTGGTATATGAAGGGGAGCCTGGGAACAAGGTGAACCTAGCAGAGCTGTTCAAGGGCAAGAAGGGCGTGCTGTTTGGAGTCCCTGGGGCCTTTACCCCTGGTTGTTCCAAGGTGAGGCCGTGCCCCTCTGGGGCTCAGCAATTGGGATCTTGTGTGCATTGTTCCTAAGTCCTCCACATTGTCACGAGGCAGCTTGCAACAATGGCTGCAGATGATATAACAGTTAAAGAGCCTATTACAGTGTTCACAATGTAGGCGAAATGAAATCCAACACCTCTTATTGACCCTACTGAGTGACAGGCACTACGGAAGGTATTTGGGTAAATAAGACATAATTATGCCTGCAGGAAGTTCATGGTCGTGACCACAGACATCTTAAGTATGGATTCAAGCTCCCTGGTGACCAAGGCAAAAAGGAACTGTGGCGTACATAGTTCTCAGTTTCTGATGAAAGGTGTTGAAGCAGGGAGGTGGGGAAGGCCTGGAGATAAAGCGTCAGCCAAGGAGTAGACAGTTGTTCCTCTGCTAAATCTTTGTTTCCCCTGCGCAGACCCACCTGCCAGGGTTTGTGGAGCAGGCAGGGGCTCTGAAGGCCAAGGGGGCCCAGGTGGTGGCATGCCTGAGTGTTAACGATGTCTTCGTGACTGGAGAGTGGGGACGAGCCCACAACGCAGAAGGCAAGGTGAGGCGCGGTCCTGCAGGGGATCAGGGGCCAGACAGGAGATTTTTCTTGTGACCTTCACTTTCTCTTTAGGTTCGGCTCCTGGCTGACCCCACTGGGGCCTTTGGGAAGGTGAGTGAGACCCCCAGCCGCACCCTACAGGGTAGCCCCTGTTCCAGGCCTTGGAAGCTGGGATTTGGAGGGACATGGCCAATGTGGGGAGCAGCTGGTGGGACTTGGTCTGCTCTGGGGGTCTCTGACTCTTTTCTCTCCTCGCTCTCCTCTTAGGAGACAGATTTGTTACTAGATGATTCGTTGGTGCCCCTCTTTGGGAATCGACGGCTCAAGAGGTAAAAGTGGGAGGGTCCTCCATGGGCTCCCCCTGCCACCCTCCCTCTCTATTCCCAGCCTCCAGGCGCAGGCTGTTGTAACTGGCCCTGCCCTCTTTTTGCAGGTTCTCCATGGTGATAGATAATGGTGTAGTGAAGTCCCTGAATGTGGAGCCAGATGGCACAGGCCTCACCTGCAGCCTGGCCCCCAACATCCTCTCGCAGCTCTGAGGTCCCGGGCGTGGGTCTACTTCTTCTGCCCTTTCTTGTTTCACCTGCCCAGCCCAGCCTCAATTTGGGCCACCCAGTTGGAGCCTTGGCCAGATTTCTGCAATAAACACTTCTGGTTCACATCTGTCTCCTTGATTTTGAATTGCTGATTCACTGTGGCCGAGGCCTCATGACAGCCGCAGCCATGAGGGTGGTGGTCAGGGCTAAAGAGGGCATTCATCTAGGGGACCTGAATTTAGGATGTGGTCAGGGAAGGCCTCTTGGAAGAAGTGTTACGAAGCCTTTGTCTGCAAGCAGAGAAAAGGCCAGTGGTCTGAAGAGCGAGGGAAGGAGCAGTTTGCAGAGGGAGCACGTCTGGGAAGGCCCTCGGCAGGCAGGAGCTTGGCTCACACCTGCGACTTCTGCATTTCATCTCTGGGTGCTTGATCTCATTGAGACCATAAACCCTAGCATAGAGACTTTGGCTTTAGGCATCTCCCTGACCTGGGCCAGATCCCAGCCCCATCATTTTTTGATTGTTGAACTATTCCTTAGGAGCACCCACATCCCAGAAAGGGCCCCTGGTACTTTGGGACCATCCGACTGGCAGGAAGAGCTTCATCGGTAGAGGCAGTGCTGATTCAGTCTAGGAGGGCTACCCGGAAGAGGAGGCTAGGTGAGCTGTGGAGGGAAGAAGATGGTGGTAAGACCTGATCGGTGCTAGGTGTGCTGTGAGCAGCCGGAGACCAGGGAGGCCAGCAGGATTTGGGGCTGGGGGCTGTTGCCTTCTGCAGGCCTTGCTTTTGGGCCTTTGCCTTTTGTCCCTGGGGAGCCATGGGCTAGGCAGTGACTGCTAGGTCCCTGCTGCATTTAGGAGCTCACAACCTAAGAGGAAAGAAGACTCTTCAGGTGTAGGAAAAGTTTGCAACACGATGCTGTGGGATACACTGTCCCCACATAGAGGAGATGAGGAGGCTTTGGCCAGGCATAATGATGAGAATGTTTTCAAGAGTCTCAGGGAGTGCGAACCAGAAGCAACTAGGCAACACCCAGAGTGTCCTGAAGAAGGAAGAAAAGCCGAGGTTTCTCAGGGTAAAAAGGACGTTCTCGAGAAGAATCGGTTCTGCATTCTTAGCCTCTGGATTGGTCCGAGATGGTGACTTAGATGACTGGCGGTCTGGAAACGTGAGCATTTTTTCTCACTCCTTTAGAGGGTAATCAGAGGGTTATCTGGACGTTTGATGTACGGGCATGCCTCAGAGATATGATTCAGTCCCAAACCACCGTAATAAAGGAGTCCTAATCTTTTTGCTGGTGGAGGATCTTATTATCTTCAACTTGGAAAAAAATGCAACGCCTGTGAAGCGCAGTACAGTGAAGGACGAAAGGATGAGGCATGCCTGTACGTCCAGCTTTGCTCACTGCGCGGTGCTGCCTGCCCTGGGGCCTGTCGGCACTGGGCTCCCAGTACCCGCCCTGCCCGGCCTGGCCTCCTGCGGGGGCTTGGCCCCCGGGGCTGCCTGCGGCAGGCTGCACTCATGGAAAGGTCAGAGGGAGAAGGTCACAGAAAGGCCTTTTGGAGGACAGAGCCCTCGAGGCAGTGGGGTAGGTGCTCCTGGCAGAGGGAACTGTGGCTGTAGGTATGGAGGGTGGACTGGCTTCAAGTTGCTGCTACACACAACGCGGCTGAGTGAGAGAGGATTTCGGGAGGGCAGCAGGCCTTTAAGGCCCAGTGACCGCTCGCCCTTCCCCCTGCACACACCTCAGGCTAGTGGACGGCATCTACAGGGCAGTGTCGGGTCAGACTCGGTCTGGCCTCCTGCCTGGAGGCAGAGCTGGAGCGGGGTGAGCGGGTGGCAGGGTGAGGTGGCGGGTGGGCAGTGCGGGGAAGGACAGAGCCGAGTGATGTCCTGCGGGTGGGGGCTGACACATGGCCACCTGTTGGGTGTTGGGAGGGAGGGGGTCTGGGGACCATGTGGCTGGAGGTCTAAGGGGCTGGGAGGTTGGCATGGTGTCCATGTGGACAGGGCACTCGGCACAGGAGCTCGCCCTCTGACCTCTGCCCCATCAGTTCTCTCCCACAACCTGCTGCCCCTCAGGTCCTGGGCTGGGGCAAGGCAGGGGGCTGACCCCTCCATCACAGTGGTTATAGCGCCATCTTCGACTTGATGGCAGAAAGGCCTTTTTTCCTTGGATACCATCTCTCTTAATACTCCTGTCATACAAATGAGGAAACTGAGGCATAGCGTTTCCCCTGTGGTCACCTGTGTGCACGCCAGTGTGTGGTCTTGAACTCCAGGCAGAGAGAGCGTCTGAGTTGGCGGCTGGTGCCTTCTCCCTCGCAGCAAACCTGTGCCACGCCGCTCACCCCGGCACTGCTCACTCTCAGGGCGCGCCCAGCCTCCATCACTGCCACTCAGCCACCTCTGCTCCCTCTGTTCCTGGCCTCTTACCTGGGCTGGCCGAGGTCCAGTGAGGCCTCTGACAGGACGTGTCCCCTCCAGAGTCCAGTTGCCACTTTAGGCCAGGGGGAGGGGGCTTCCAGGGCTCCCTTTGGACAGCGTGATGGTTGTCGGCGTGGGTGGAGATGGGGCCTTGGCCTGGGTGCGCCCGCTGCTGGCCGCAGGGTTCAGCTTGCTGGGCGGCGGAGAGTGTCCTGTGAGCAGCTATCACGTGGCAAGAGAAGGTGGCAGAGTTCCTGGTGAGCAGGCCAGGTTCTAGACCTATAGATGAGCGGAAACCAGGCCGTGGTAGCGTGGACCGGTGGGTCCTGGAAGCCTGGGGCTGCGCCTGGCAGGGCGGTGGGCATGACCTTCCTGGGCCGTTCCTGGCCGAAGGGCCAGCGTTCAAACCAGTTAACCAGTCTACCCACTCACCCTGAGAGAGCCACCCAACACGCCCCCAGATAAAACTTACCGCCTGTCCTGACCTGCCCACGACCACAGTCACCCCAGCCCATAAAGTCAAGGGTTTTACTCAGTGGCCGCGGCTCTGGGCCTTTTCTGAGTCGAGTCCCTTTGAAGTGCTGCTGAGAGCCATGCCTTTTCTCCTAGAAAAGGCATGTTTGCACACGTGTGTGCGCATGTGCACACGAGGTGTCTGCATGCTCTTTAACAGTTTCAAGGAACCCCTGAAGTCCTTCCAGAAAGTCCAGGTGAGCCCTCAGACCCTGTCTGGAAGCCCCATGGTAGCGCAGGGCCAGCGGCTCTGGCCTGAGACCACCAGACCGGGAATCCTGACCTGTTACCGAGAAACTGGGGATCTTGGGCAGGTGATTTATTAGAGTTTCCCCTCACCCCACCTCCCTCATCTTTAAAGTGGAAAAAATCCAACCCATCTCATAGGGATGTTTTGGGGAACAAATAAGGTGATTTATGTAAAGTATTTGGCACAGTGCCTGACCCACAGTAAATGCCCAATAAATGGTTATAGAAAGAAAAAAAGAACCACTGCTTCCCACCATGCAGCATACATGTGGGTACGGAAAGAGGTAGGAGTGTGGAGAGAGGTCAAAGCCAGTCCTGCACCGGGACTTCTGTGATGCGCCTCTCTGGGCCTTGGTTTCCTCATCAGTGTAATGGGGCTAGTGACTCTCTTTTTTTTTAATCCTCACCTGAGGACAGTTTTTTCATTGCTTTTAGAGGGAGGAAGGGAAGGAAGAAAGGAGGGAGGGAGAGAGAGAGAAACATAGATGTGAGAGAGAAACATCGATTAGTTGCCTTCTTGTATGTACCCTGGGTATGATACGCCCTGAACAGGGATCAAACCTGCAGCCTGGATATGTGCCCTGAACAGGATACAAACCTACGAACTTTTGGTCTATGAGAAGATGCTACAACCACTGAGCTACACTGATCAGGGCCCTCTCTTTTTAAAAAATCTTCACCTGAGGATATGTTTGTTGATTTTTAAAGAGAAGAAGAGGGATGGGGAAGAGAGAAACATCATGAGAAATACCTATCGGTTGCCTCCTGTATGCACCATGACTGGGGATCGAACCCGCAGCCTAGGTATGTGCCTCGACCAGGAACTGAACCTGCAATGTTTGGTGCATGGGATGATGCCCCAACAGACTGAGCCACTGGGCCAGGGAAACTCTCTTATTGTCTATCATACCTAGGCCCCAGGGATTCTTCATGTTATCTGGTGCCTGAAGTCTCACCTAAGGAGCTGGAAAGATGTGTCCGGGAGAAGCTTTGCCAGACTCTGGGGAATCAAACCTGAGCTTCTGAGAGCTAGAGCCAGTTGGAGGGTCCCAGCATGCCTGGCCTAGACTAGGCCAGGCATGCAGCCACGCAGCTGCCGTGATCCGAAGCACTGGGGCTGCTGGCCCCAAGAGAACGCACTCTGCTGGTGGAGTTTGGGGTCCAAACACACTGGCACCCAGGAGTGACAGCAGAGAGAGAGAATATGTGTGGGGGGCACACACGTGTGTTTGTATAACAACCTCTGGAAAAGAGAGGGTCAAGTTCTCTCTTGAATGGACAAGTTCTTGATATTAATGGGTGTGCCGAGCAATTGCCCCGCTGTTTGTATTTGCATCCATTCTCCTGCTTGAGCGGGGAATCCTAGGTTTCTATTACCACAGGTAAGATGCCTTGCTCAGGATGGGCCACACAGAAAACACTCCACACATGCTTCGGGAAGGAGGAAAGAAGTGAAGGAAAGTAGTGAGAGAGAGAGAGAGCTAGCCTTTCCCCAGCTTCTGGGATATTGTTCCCATTATTTCAACATAAAACATGTGTCTAACTAAATCAGGGGTCTTATTACCGTGGGAGAAAGGCCGTGCGTGAATGTGCCACTTCCCTGCTGCTCCCGTCAGCTTTGACAGGGGCACGTCCTAACTGTTTCAGATCCCTGCGACGCCTCAAATCCCCAGTGACCCCTCTCCAAGCCTCTGTCCCTGCAACCTTGGTCTCCAAAGTCACCCCAATTCTTTAGTCTGTGGGTCCCCCAAGCTTCTGCCACTTGAGTATCTCCCTGATCATGTCCGCCACCCTGGGTGCCCCTCCCTTTTCCTATCCCGGCCAAAATAGCTCTAACCTTCAAGGCCCCGGGTCAGTCCTATTTGCTGAAGATGACAGGCTGTTCCCTGTCTCTTCCCTGAACTAGTCCATGTGGGCCACACCCTCAGCTTCATTAA